CTGTAACCTCCAGCTTTACAAGTTGACGCTCAATAACTGAGCCACACTGGCTGAGCCTGCCTTCTATTTTTATTTTTTTACACTTATTTATTTTTTATTTTTATTTTTTTCTGCAGAAAGCTTTATTGTTTCATTTGATCCGATTCAGGGGAGAGGGCTCCAGGGTGGTTAAAAGAATGTCTAGTAGTTTTGGGAAGAGGCTCAGGTAAAAGCCAGAGACACTAGGGGGTTACAGAAGGGGGCGGGGGCCTCTGAAAAGTTTCTGGGCTCCAAAGGCTCCTAGTCATGTTTGAGGGTGAGCCTTTTTTTTTTTTTTTAAATAAATTTTTATTGATTTTTTACAGAGAGGAGGAGAGAGGGATAGAGAGCTAGAAACGTCGATGAGAGAGAAACATCGACCAGCTGCCTCTTGTACACCCCCCATCGGGGATGTGCCCGCAACCAATGTACATGCCCTTGACCGGAATCGAACCCGGGACCTTTCAGTCCGCAGACCGACGCCCTACCACTGAGCCAAACCGGTTTCGGCGAGGGTGAGCCTTTTGATGAGATACAGGCCCAGCCCAGTCTGGGGGCTGCCCAGCCTGTGGATGTTAGTTAGGTGGTCGCCCATCTTCTTGATCAGTTTCACCTCCGCATCCAGGAAGTGGTTCTCCAGGAAGTCGTAGACATGAGGATCCGCACGGGTAGAAGCCAGGCCATGCAGCTCCAAAAGGGCCTGGTTCAGGCTCTTTTCCAAGGCCAGGGCAGCTTCCACGGTGTCCTGAGTTTTGGACCAGTCATCCTGGGAAGGTTCTTGGTAGAGAACGCAACAGTCTCGCTTGTTTTGCAACTTTAACAAATGCTCCACGCCCTTAGGCTTCTTCTCTGCCAACTCTCGAAAGCAGTAGCCCACACCGTCCAGAGCCACATCCTTGCAGTCGAAATAGTAGCCCAAAGCGAGGTACGTGTAGGAGGCCCACAGGTGTAGGTTGACCAGGTGATTGACTGCAGCCTCCACCTCGGGAGAATAATTCTGAGGAATTTGGAGCTCATGGCCATTCAGCAATGAGGCGTTAAGGTAGAAAAAAAACAAACCAAACCGGTGTTTTGGCTGGTCCTGGAGGTGGTGCTGAAGGTGGTGACTGGATGAGATGCAGGAGAGTGGCCAGAGGCTGGAAGAACGGGCGTCCCTGGGTCCCTTCCGTCCAAACACTGTTGAAGCAAAAGACAGATCCGGGACCTCTGAAAGCCCTGCTACCTACACTTATTTCAATCCTCACTCCAAGATATTTTTCCATTGATTTTCAGAGAGAGTGGAAGAGAGAGGGAAAGACTTAAATATTTTTGTGAGAGAAACACATCGATTGGTTGCCTCCTACATGTATGTAGACCAGGGACCAGGCCGGAGAGGAGCCTGCAAGCCAGGTATGTGTCCTTGACTGGAATCCAACCCAGGACCCTTCAGTCTGCAGGCCAGCACTCTATCCATTGAGCCAAACTAGATAGAGCCTGCCTTCTATTTTATTTTTAATTTAAAAAAGTATATTTTTATCTATTTTAGAGAGAAAGGGATAGGGAAAGAAAGGTAGAAACATCAATGACAAGAGAGAATCACTGATTGGCTGCCTCCTGCACATCCCACACTGGGGATCGAGCTCGCATCCTGGGCATGTGTCCTGCCCAGGAATGGAATGGAACTGTGACCTCCTGATTCATAGGTTAACGCTTAACTGCTGAGCCACACCAGCCAGGCCTGCCTTCTATTTTTTTTAAAAAATATATTTTATTGATTTTTTAGAGAGGAAGGGAGAGAGATAGAGCTAGAAACATAGATGAGAGAGAAACATCGATCAGCTGCCTCCTGAACACCTCCTACTGGGGATGTGCCCGCAACATGCCCCCTTAACCAGTCCACAGACCGACGCTCTATCCACTGAGCCAAACCAGTTTTGGCCTGCCTTCATTTTTAAAGGAAATTTATTAATTGATTTGAGAATTGTCCCACTTATTTATGCATTCATTGGTTAATTCTTGTATGTACCTTGATCTGGAATCGAACCTGCAACCTAAGCATATTAGGGAACAATGCTCTAACCAACTGAGCTACCTGCCCAGGGCCATGGGTCCTGCCTTCTAGAGACACCAAACTCTCTTTTCATGTGATCCCTAACCCTGGGAGCCCTGAGAACACCCCTCAAATGAGATGAGATTGTGCCTAGCAATTACAATTGAGGAATAGTAAGATTTCCTCTCCTTCCATTTCTAAAGAGATAGACTGAAAAAAACATGTCCCTTGTTGTCACGAGTGAATGTGACTTGAATGCGGGCCTTGGATAAGTTCTAGTTCCCATTCTGTCTCCCAAACTGAAAAGGTATGGACAGCACCACCTGCCTTAGAGGTTGCTGGGAAGAGCAAATGGCAGCTTAGCACAAGCAGGGCATCAGTGAGTGTTAGTCAAGCCTTAGTAGCTCAATGCCTGCTCCTTGCTCAAACATTCATATAACATTGCCCAGTGATGCTGCTTCTCTGCTGGTTTGAAAATTCAAATTCAGGGTCTCTCTCTAAACCTTGACACACCTTGAGGTTAGCTCTTTCTTTCAATATGTTTTGTTGGCATTTGGGATTTTCTCCCTATTTCTGGGCTATACAGTTCTTTCCAGGTTACTTTGTAGCAATTTGAGTGTTTTGAGAATCACCTTTTGCTCAAACCCTTTGAGGGGGATCTAGGAGGAACTTCGGGCTGTGACTAGATTTTCAATGGACTCACCAAAGAAGTTTAACCCAACCTTGACCCTGGAGTCTTCTCAGCTGCCCCGTGAAGATTCAGCTGGCATTGAAGCTGTCTCAGATGTACTAGCAAAGAACCTTGGTAACTTAACTCTCAACCTAGTACCAAATACCCTTCCTTTTTACAGAACGTTCATTCCAACAGTAGGACAAAGTAAAAAACTTACAGGAGCTTGGACTAAGGCCATAAAAAAAACTTAAATACCTTGGCCCAGACTCAGCCCAAGCCATGCTCTCAATAGATGTGGAGTGAGGACATTGGCAACTGATCAGGAAAAAAAGGATAAGTTATTAGATACTGCACTAAGTTTCTACTTCAAAAAGACCCACAGGAAAGAAAACAAAACAAAACTGAATTCAGATTCAGGAAAAAATTTTATTTTTATTCTGAGAGGGATAGTGAAACAAGGAAGGGCTTAGGATAGAAGCAATAGGAGAAAGCCTAGGCAGTGCTACTTTGCTCTCCAGAGCTATTATAGGAAAGAAATGAGTCTAGGCTGGGTTGCTGTCAGCTCACTGGAAAGTCAGAGAAGAGGGGACCTTGGAAATGGGTTCTGGAGATTAGCCCGGGATGAGCTACTGCTATTACTGCTCATTGCTCCCTGGTTGCAAGTCTTGTGGGGGGGTCCCTTAGAGTTTATGTGATGCATGCCTGTCAGGAAAGGAGAGGGGGAAGGGAAAGGCTCAGGTGTGCTCCTGGGAGGGAGAGCACACCTAGATTAAAAAAATGTAGATGCAGTTGTCATTATTGCCTGTATCATGGAGATCATTCTGGTAATATTAGCATGGAGAATAATTATGACATGGAATCGATTTAGCCTTCAACCTTATTCTTGCGCTTTTTTTCTTGCTAGTAATTTTAATAAATGTTTTAAATTTATTTCAGAGAGAGCAATAGGGAGAAATAGAAACTTCAATGATGAGAAGCATCAGCTGCCTCCTGCACACCCCCTACTAGGGTTGGAGTCTGCAACCTGGGCATGGTACCTGACCGGGAATAGAACTGTGACCTCCTGTTTTATGGGTGGACACTCAACCATTGCGCCTCATCTGCTGGGCTCTTGCTAGTAATATTAAGGTCGTTATGCAGCAGATGGGCAAACTACTCTATGCTAGGATAGACTGTATACCAATATTTTGATAACTTACAATAGAAGTTCTGTGATATCTTTAATTTAAAAGGCATCTATGTAGTGTCCATTTGAAAACGACTTCAATATACTTCAGTTCCTTTTTATTTGACTCATAAAAGCACTAATAAGTCTTGTGTGTTGTGTTTTAGAAACCTGAAGTCAGCAAGATGAAACCCACCATCAAGAATTAGAAGCAAGTAACTTGTGTGGAAGTTACATCTATTGATAGAGCATGGCCTGGGCTGAGGCTGGGCCAAGGCATTTAAGTTTTTTTATGGCCTTAGTCCAAGCTCCTTCTTTGTCCTACTGTTGGGAAGAACGTTCTGTTAGAAAGGAAGGGTTCTTGAGCAAAGAAGACCTACAGATATGACCCTATGTGAAAAAACCAGACAGGCAAAATTTTGCACTTACAAAGTAGTTGAATTATTTATTGGCATTAAAAAAGCATTCCTTTAAACACTAAACTCTCACCCCATCTTATGAAAACTTGAAACAAAATTCTCCATGGTCATACACAAGTTAATCACCAGGAGCAAGAATTCGAGTTAAATTAACGGTTCTGCTGAGAAAACAAGGGAAAAGCGGGAGTGGGTGCATATTAAAGAAATGTTTTATTCATTTTTTACAGAGAGGAAGGGAGAGGGATAGAGGTTCAAAAATATCCATGAGAGAGAAACATCGATCAGCTGCTTCCTGCATACCCCCTACTGGGGATGTGTCCGCAACCAAGGTACAAGCCCTTGACCAGAATCGAACCTGAGACCTTTCAGTCCGCAGGCCAATGCTCTATCCATTGAGCCAAACCAGTTAGGGCCACACTGCAATATCAAAGGTACAATAATCTAACAATTCCTAGCTTAGCACAAAACCGCTTCCCAATGTTTCAAGGCAGACATTTAATTATCAATAGTCCAAGGGCTAAGGAAATTTTCAAATAACAGGAGCGTACCCTTTGGTGGCCTGCAGCTAAGGAGCCAAGTTCTTAAGAACCGGTTGACACACTCTTGGGAAAGCGAATTCACAGAATCTCCAGCATCCGGTCTCAGCCTCCAGTCTATAAAATGCGGCACTGGTGAGGGAGTGAGGAGGAAAGGCAGCTAGGCGTCCAGATCGAAGTCATCGCGCTCCTCATTGTACTCCAGCACGTGCCGTTTGATCTTGGACGAGTCAACCCAGGTGACGAAGTCCTCCATGCTGCGTGTGACAAGAAAGGCGGGGTCGGTGACCACGTCGGGGCCCACGCGCACGTGGCCCTGCTCCACGAAGGCCACGGCGGCCTGGAGGTGCTGCGCCATGCGCAGCTTGAGGAGCACGGTGGGCAGGCGGCGGCGGCAGAAGGACGAGGCCGTGACGAAGTCGCAGAGTTCGAGCGAGCTGCGCGTGGGCACCAGGCCAAGGGCGTACAGCTTGTCCAGCAGCGCAGCCGAGGAGCGGACGCGAAACGGGTCGCGCTCGGGCAGGTCGCGCAGGCGCCGCGCCAGCTCCCGCACGGATCGGCTCAACTGGTTGTAGCGCGTGTAGTCCTCGCGCCGCTGCAACCGATAACGACGCAACACGCGCAGTTCGTGCAGGTTTTGGTCAGTGACCTCCCAGTTCAGGAAGTCCACCTGTTTCAACAGCTTCTGCTCGTGGAACTTAAGTTTCCTCACCATGATGGCGAAGGCCAGCTCCCTAGGACCCCGGGATGGGAGTGAGTTCCGGCTTCCGTGCAACTTCCGCCTTGGCGCGCGAAGACCTGGCTGCCTTCGCAACTGGGCCAATGAGAAAAAGGCTCACTATCATGTCTCCAATTTCCATTGGTGAGAGTGTGGCCACGTCCCCACAAAGTATCTCGCGATTTTCTCGCGCCATTCAAGGGACTGGGGCGGGGCGGAGCGGGAAAGGGGGCGGAGCCTTGGGGGCGGAGCGGGCGGGCGGGGGGATGGGGAGGGCGGAGCGGGCGGGGCGGGGCGGAGCGGGCGGGGCGGGGCGGGCGGGCAGAGCAGTGTTAAATTGTTAGGAACCAATCCTCTGATGCCATTATCGTTTCTCTCATTAGATGTCCGCCTTTTAGGGTCTCCCAAGGGAGTCTCCCCTATAAGAGCTAGGAGAGCTGGGAGGAAGAGAGAAGATGGCATTTGTTTGGTTGGGTTTACGTAGTGCTAGCTGACCGTTGGGTTCATTCCACTTTGTAGAGGGCCTCCCGGAGTCCGCCTGCCTGTGGGCTGTCCTGGAAGTCCCCACCGATCGCCAGAGCCAGGTTCTTCATCCAACGAGAGGAACGGTTTTTCTGCGCTAAAGGGGCTGGGCTGCAGCGAACCTCTGAAATACAGGTTCTCTGGCCGTTTCCTATACGGGCAGAAGCGAGGTCTACACGGGAGCCAATTGGAAATCTGCACTGTTGACAGGAGTGCTACTTGATTCATAAAACACAGCAAATTTGAGAAACTTGGATAGTAGGTACAAGCCCGGAGCCTGCAGTATGGACGCAAACTAATTTGCTTGACGGTGGATATGTAGTCACTTAGCTTGAGTTGACGAAGTTAATTCTGTTTCAACTAGTTAAATCTGTAATTTGTATCTGAGTATAGCGCTGCCCAATTAACTTCATTTGCTCAAGCCTTTGACGCCACCCTGCTTCTTCCCTATTCATTTTTTTTGTTTTGTTATTTTTTTGTACTCTTTTCGTAATATTTGATCTATGAAAAATAATATAGGTTTTATATGTAAGTTATAAAGTATAATGAATTCTTATAAACCCAACAGCCAGTTTAAGAAAATGTCACCTGGATCATGTCATCTAACTACGCTCCTGTTCTCCAGAATCTTTTGTTTAAAGAAAGAAAAATAGTTTTCTCATTATACATGCATCTCTAAATATGTATCCTTCCCACTCAAAGTGTAGCCTGTGCACCAGCAGAGAGGTCGTTGGAAATGCAGAATTTCATGCTCCACTCCTGACCTACAGAATCACAATTTGCATTTTACAACATTACCAGGTATTTTGTACACAATATTTGAGAAGTGTTGCTTAGAAGACATCACACCATATGGAGTTTATTATATGTAGCTGTAGTTGTTTTTGGTTTTTATGATTTTTTAAATTGGTTTTATAGAGAGAAAGGGAAAGAGAGATAGAAATATCAATGATGAGAGAGAATCATCAATTGGCTGCCTCCTGCATGTTCTCCAATGGGGTTGAGCCTGAGACCAAGGCATGTACCTTGTCTGGGAATTGAACCATGACCTTCTGGTTCATGGGTTGATGCTCAACTACTGAGCCACCCCAGCCAGGCTGTAGTTTTAATTTTCTTTCTTTTCATTATTTTTATTGCTACAAAATATTCCATTGTTTGGTTCTAAGAAATTTATTAATTTTTTTTTTCCTACTAGGCTTTTTGGAAGGACTATTTTTTAGCAATACTGCTAGTCACATTCTTATAGGTCTTCTGTTGCACATATGCAGTAACTTCTAGTATGCATCTTGGAGCAAAATTACTGAGTTTAAAGTATGTGCATGTTCAATATTATTAGACATTGTTGCCAAATTGTTTTTTTCTTTTTTCTTTATTTAGACTAATAGAGGCCCGGTGCACGAAATTTGTGCAGGGGAGGGTGTGTGTAGTGTGTTCCTCAGCCCATCCTGCACCTTCTCCAATCTGGGACCCCTTGAAGGATGTCCCACTGCCCAGTGGGGTCAGGCCTAAATGGACAGTTGGACAACCCTCTCACAATCCAGGACTGGTGGCTCCCAACCACTTGCCTGACTGCCTGTCTGATTGCCCCTAACTACTTCTGCTTGCCGATCTCATCACCCCTAACCACTCCCCTGCCAACCTGATTGACACCTAACTGCTCCCTTGCTGGCCCAATCGCCCCTAACTGCCCTCCCCTGCCAGCTTGGTTGCCCCCAATTGCCCTCTCCTGTAGGCCTGGTCCCCCACTAACTGCCCTCCCCTACCACCCTGGCCACACCTAACTGCCCTCCCCTACAGACCTGATCACCCCTAACTGTGCTCCCCTGCCAGCCTGGTCACACCTAACTGCCCTCCCCTGCAGGCCTGGTCCCCCCAACTGCCCTCCCCTGCAGGCCTGGTCACCCCTAACTATCCTCCCCTGACAGCCTGGTTGCCCCTAACTGCCCTCCCCTGCTGGCCTGGTCGCCCCTAATGGCCCTCCCCTGCCAGCCTGGTTGCCCCCAACTGCCTTTCACTGCAGGCATGGTCCTCTCCAACTGCCCTCACCTGCAGGCCTGGTCCCCCCTAACTGCCCTCATCCCTAATTGTGCTCCACTGCAGGCCTGGTTCCCTCCAACTGCCCTCCCCTGCTGGTCTGGTCACCCCCAACTGCCTTCCCCTGGAGTCTTGGGTCCCCCCCCAACTGCCCTCCTCTGCCAGCTTGGTTACCCCTAACTTCTCCCCCCTGCTGACATGATCGCTCCCAACTACCCTCCCCTGCCAGCCATCTTGAGATGGCCATCTGGTGGCCACATGGGGGCAGCCATCTTGTGTGAGGAAGTGATGGTCAATTTGCATATTATTTTTTTATATATAGGATGAGGGTATGTTTATTAAAGCTAGGGACAGTAAAACAAAGAAAGGCTTAGCATAAATGAACTGACAAGAGAGCCAGACTGGGTTGCCTTAGCTCACTTGGAAGTCAGAGAAGGGGGCTTTAGAGATAGGTTCAGGGAGTTAGACTGGGATGAGCTGCCCCTGTGCATTGCTGCCCTGGTTGCATGTCTCCTGGGGATCTTAGAGTTTAGGATATGAATGCCTGTGGGTGAAGAAGTGAGGAAAGAAGTGGGGGGAAGGGATGGTATGGATGTGCTCCCTATAGGGAGAATGCAACTATATTGCCAAGTTATTTAACAAAAGAGTTGTACCAATTTATATTCCTTTGGTAATGCATGAGAGTTCCCTTTTTCTTTATTTTTTTAAAAAGCATATTTATGTTTGTCTGGTTTGACAATATTTTTAAAAATGTTTTTATTGATTTCAGAGAGGAAGGGAGAGGGAGAGATAGATAGAAACATCAGTGAGAGAGAATCATCCATTGGCTGTCTCTTGCACATCCCCCACTGGGGACTGAGCCAGAAATCAAGACATGTGCCCAGCCCTTGAATGGATCTGAGACCTCCTAGTTCATAGATTGATGCTTAACCATCGAGCCACACCAGCTGGGTGTGTTTCATTCTCTCTTTTTTTTTCTTCTTAATAGAAATGAGTATTTATTTTTTTAAAAAGTAATTTATTGATTTTTTACAGAGAGGAAGGGAGAAGGATAGAAAGTTAGAACCATCGATGAGAGAGAAACATCAATCAGCTGCCTCCTGCACACCCCCTATTGGGGATGTGCCCGAAACCAAGATACATGCCCTCGACCTGAATCAAACCTGGGACCCTTTCAGTCTGCATACTGACACTCTACTCACTGAGCCAAGCCAGTCAGGGCGTTTTTTCATTCTTGCTTGTTAGTTTTTAAAATATTTGGCAGTTTGGTGAATGTGTGATGATATTTCAATATGATTTTAATTTTCATTTTCCTGATGAATAATGGTTTCATATATGAATAATGCTCCTTCCCCCCAAGATATCCACCCACAACCTGTGAATGTTACTTTATGTGACAAAAGGGATTTTGCAGACGTGACTAAATTAAGGATCTTTAAGTAGTGAGATTATTCTGGATTATCTGGGTGGGTCCCTTGTAATTATAAGGGTCCTTATAAGTAAAAGAAGGAGGCAGAAGAGCCTAAAGAGATATGTTGATAGAAGCAGAAGTCTGAATGATGTTATTACTGCTTTGAAGATGAAAGGAGACCAGGAGCAAAGGAATATGGTGAGCCTCTGGGAAGCCTGAAAAGGCAAGGAAATAGAATTTTCTCTAGAGCCTCCAGAAGAAACATTGCCCTGCTGACACCTTGATTTAAGCCCTGAGAGATCCAGTTTGGATTTTTGAACTCCAGTACTGTAAGATAATAAATTTGTGTTAATTTCTTACAACAGTGCAATAAAAACCAAAAAACAAGCGAAAAAACCACTCATATAGATTGCTTGCTTTTTTTCTAATTGATTTGAAGGCGCTTTTTAAAAAAATCTTTATTGTTCAGATTATTACAGTTGTTCCTCTTCACCCCTCCCCATAGCTCCCCTTCACCCAGTTCCCACCCCACCCTCTGCCCTTATCACCCCCCATTGTCCTCATCCATAGGTGTATGATTTTTGTCTAGTCTCTTCCTGCACCCAACACCCCCTACCCCTTGAGAATTGTCAGTCCACTCCCTTTCTATGCCCCTGATTCTATTATATTCAGCAGTTTCTGTTCCATCAGATTTTTTATTCACTTGATTTTTAGATTCACTTGATAGGTATGTGTTTGTTGTTCATAATTTTTATCTTTACCTTTTTATTCTTCATCCTTTTCTTAAACAATTACTTTCAGCATTTCATATAATACTGGTTTGGTGATGATGAACTCCTGCAGATTTTCTTATCTGTAAAGCTCTTTATCTGACCTTCAATTCTGAATGATAGCTTTGCTGGGTAGAGTAATCTTGGCTGTAGGTTCTTGCTATTCATCACCTTGAATATTTCTTGCCATTCCATCTGGCCTGCATAGTTTCTGTTGAGAAATCAGCTGTTAATCAAATGGGTGCTCCCTTGTAGGTAAC